CTGTAATTTTTGTTGCTTACTTTCCCAAGAAGGTGGCAATAGAAAGAATCACCTAAGCACTTGGGGCCCACTTCTCAGAGTTGGCTGTTCAATGTCTAAGGCAGTGTGTCTTGATCCCTTTAGGGGGTTGACCCTTTCACGGGAGTCGCCTAAGACATAACAGTATAGTTACATTTATGAATTAGCAGCAAAACAATTGTATGATTGGGGTCACCACAACATGAACTGTATTAAAGGGGCACAGCGTTAAGAAGGTTGAGAACCGTTGGCCTAAGATCTGTTGTGGCTTGCTACTAACCATGGATGTCTGAACAAGTACATGCCACTTGTATTTCAATCATGATCCCAGCATGCAATTCCTTTGTTCACAGACCCAGAGTGTGAACCATGGTGAGGAAGGGAAAGCCATATTTTTCTTAACATGACCCTACAGCCAGCTTGAGATACATGGAAAACATCCTACGCTGAAGATACATGACAGGAAAAGTAACAAAGGATAGTAATATAGGAAGAGCCATAGAGATGACTGTGTAAAGGCACTTGCAGCACCACATGGTGTCCCAAGTCTAGTCCCTAGACCCCACATAAAGGTGTATGGAGAGAACTTACCTCCACAGAGTCCTCTGAGCTTCATATGCACACCTACACACAAGTACACACTTGATCCACTTAAAAAAACAGATTTGTTCCTCTTATTTTTGTATCTATCTGTATGTGGGTTTGAGCATGTGAGTGCAGGCAGCCTCATAGGCCTGAGGGATCCGGAACCCCTGGAGCTGGAGTTACAGGCAGTAAGTAGTAAGCCACCTGATGTAGGTGCTGGGAATTGAACTCTAGAATTGCTCTCTGGAAGTTCAGTGCATGCTCTTAACCTCATAGCCATCTCTCCAGCCCAAATAACTTTTTAAAAATAATAACAAAATCCGTCAGAATGCCCAAACATTGCACAAAGGATAAAATGTGAACAACCTGTAAGCATGTAGATGTTTATTCAGTAATCAAAGCCAAAGAGCTGGCTTGTTGATTTAAGAATGTTTGCTGCTCTACAGGGGGTCAGGGTTCCATTCTCAGCTCTTAAATGGCAGCTTACAACCTTCTATAATTCCTTTTCCAGGGCATCTAATGCCCTTTCAGGCCTTTGAAGGCACCAGACAGACACATGTATAGTCAACATACATGCAGAAAGAACACTTGTATATAAAATAAAAAGTTTTAATTAAAAAATGTTAATTACAAGAGGGCCTTGTGCACCTCAAACTAACCTCAAACAGAGTTGAGGGTTACCTTAAACTTCTTATCCTCCCTCTTCCTCCCAAGTGTTGAGACTACAGGCCATCACATCTGGTTTATACAGTGCTGGGAGCTAAACTCAGGGTTTGGCAGTCTCTACAGAATGAACTACATAACCAACCAGCAAGGTTGCCTCCCTGTCTCCCTCTTCCAGACAGGGTCTTACTCTAGCTCAGTCTTTCCTAAAATTGATTATGTAACCCAGGCCAAAGTGTAGGGATTATAGGCATGAACCACACAGTGCCGAATCAGGAAGTCAGTTTTCATTTATCTTTCAGTAAAATGTGAAGGATTGCTAATCCTCGGATTTGCAATTGGGCTGGAAATTGGTAAAATGCGGGCAGAGCACCAACTCAACAGGAAGCCTGTGTTAAAAGTACAAACGTGCAGATGTGCAGACCTTTGTCCCACAGTTATGCATCTTGAAATTGATTCTAAGGAAGGGATTAGGACTTATAAACAGATGTAGGAAGGTATAACTGGGAAGACAGCCCCCTACATTACAGGCCTTGCTATGCAGGCCAGGCTGGACTGCTTCCTGGGCTCCAAGATCGCAGTTGTATATAGTCATGTCTGAAGAGGGTATCAGATCCTCTGAAACTAGAGTTGTAGATGGTGGTGAGCTGCCTTGTGGGTGCTGGGAATCAAACCCCGGGTCCCAGTGAGATAAAAGTTCTCTAGGCTGCTGAGCCATCTCTCCAGCCTCTTACTTGCTTACTTTGATGTTTGGCACCCTCAGCTCACCTTAAGTAAGCTTGTGGGGGAGAGGAGGCAGCAGGAGGGGGACCAGGCTGGGGGGAGCAGATGTGGACTTCTGCTCCGTAAGGAAGAGAGAGGTAGGCCCTGACCCTGATGACATCAGGCTGAAACTGTGATTCCTGCTGCTCCTTAGAAGACACTGTTTTCTTATTTTGCACAAGGGAACAGGACTTTTATTAGCTGTGGCTCAGGCATTGTGCCAACATGGGAACTAGTCCTTGGTATGCGCAGTCCTAACTGATCTTAGATAATTGTGGCAGACATGGAATCACCCTCAGGTTTGTAAACTTAAAAAAAGTCAGGAGAATCTACCCTTCTTTCCATGCCCTTTTGTTTTCAGTGCTGGGCTAAAACCCAGGGTCTAAAGCATGCTAAACCTGTGCTCTACCAGTAAGCTATACCCTCAGCTCTAGAACCCCTTTTTATCTTGGTTAGCGCAGAACTCCTCAAATATGGAACCATAATGCTCAGAGCATGCAGTGCACACCCTCACCCAGGCCAGGGATTTCCTGACTTAAGAGGAAATTATCATTATTATGTGTATGTTTGTAACGGGGGTGGGGGGTCATGTGCACCATGGTGTAAACGTGGAGGTTAGAGGATAACTTTTGGGAGTTAACTCTACCGCCATCTTGGGTTCCAGGGATCAAATTTAGATCATCAGGCTTGTGCAGCAAGTATCTTTACCCACTGAACCATGTCACTGGCCCAAGTTCCTGATTTCTAAATTAAATGTGCATGCATGTATGTAATGTGCGGGGCACATGTGGGGGTCAAAGGACAACTAGAAGTTGGTGCTCTCCTTCTACCATGTGGATCATGGGGATCAAGCTCAGGTCTCCAGCCTTGGGGCATCAACTTTTATTCACCAGAGTGTCTCACCAGCCCTTCCTGTTTTTTTTTTTTTTCTTTTTTTCCTCTCTTTTGGAAAGGATTTAATGTCTATCTTTATCTTTTAAACTGTTTTGTTGTTTGTTTGTCTTAAAAAAAGAAAAGTCTGTATCCCAGACTGGCCTCAACTCTCACAATCCTCTCTGTAGTCTCTCAAGTGCTGAGATTGTAGGTGAGGGTTACCACACCACCTTCAAACTGTTTTGGTTTTTGTGCTGGAGATTCGGCCCAGGTTTTCTGCATGCTAGTAAAGTGCCCTGCCACTGAGCCTCACCCACAGCCCTTATAATATTTCATGTTCCCATGTTTTATTCTTCTGAAGCTTGAATTTCATAGAAGCGTTAGCAAGGGGTTGGTGTGGCCAGACCCAGCTTCTCCTTGCTGTCTTCTGGGAGCCATGACAGTTTCTTCTCAGTCCCTGGGGGCTGTAGGAGCTGTTGGAGCTGGGCTTGACTCTGGTGGGTATGAAGACCTGAAGCCCCTCTGAAGGCTTCCAGAAGACATGGGCCTGCTGCACCTCATCCACAAAGGAGGCAGAAACCACTTTGGTGTCGGGCTGTGGCTAGAGTGGGGCATATAGGCTGACACAGGGCTGAGGGCACAGGCTGAGATTTGTCGCCATCTGGTGCAAGGTGCTGTGAGGAAGGAAGTGCGAGGGTTAGGATAGGAGGCAGGGCTCCTTTTCAGGGAGAGTGGCTGGAGGAGTGTAGGACTGTTTGTGATGGCAACAGTTCAGAAGAGCCAGAGCCCCCTCATTGGGCCACTTGCTTCGACACTAGTTATGGTGGTTTGAAAGAAAATGGCCCCCAAAGGGAGTGGCACTATTAGGAGATGTGGTTTTGTTGGAGTGGGTGTGGCCTTGTTGGAGGAAGTGGTCACTGTGGAGTCAGGCTTTGAGGTCTCCTATGTGCTCAAGCCACACCCAATATCTCAGTTCACTTCCTGTTGCTTGCTGATCAAGATGTAGGACTCTCAGCTCCAGCAGCATGTCTGGCTGCATGCCATGTCCCACAATGATGATAATGGACTAAACTCTGAACTGTGAGCCACCCCATTAAATGTTTTCCTTTGTAAGCATTGCTGTGGTCATGGTGTCTCTTCACAGCAATAGAAACCCAGCTAAGACACTAGTGATATCTCAAAAGCATATTTTGTCTGGGGACCCCATGGCCTGTTGATGGCAGAGTTGGGACCAGAGCTCATGCCACCTCTCATTTTTCCTGCTTCAGCAGTCAAGGCCTGGAGCCCTGGGAGGTGGGGGAAAGGTGACTCTTACTTTGTGTACCTCCCTCATTCCAGGTAGACTTGATAGGGAAGGGCACATTAAATTGGTCCCTGAGAGACTTAACTGAGTTGAAATGTCCTTGCCCACAGTGGCTGTGACAGTGCTGGAGTCCTTCCTCATATTAGAAGTGGGGCTGGCTGCACACTAGCCGAGCCCTGTCACAGGCACTGACTGAGTTTTACAAACGTGTGAACACATAGTAAATGACCACACAGTGAGGGGCTGGCTTTGAGTACATTGTGACCTAGATCCAATTTAATTGCCAAGGTCACTTGAGAGATCACTGTTGCCAGGTCATTTCCTGACTCTGGTGGTAAAGCTACTTCTGGCTTTGATAACAGTGACCTGGAAAGCTATTGGCCTGAGGAAGGTGAGCTCAGGTGACCATGGTACTTTTGGCATCTGAGGGGATGGCAGCCTAGACAGTGAAATTGTGACTTCCCTGAGGCCTAAGAAATTTTGGGTTTTGCCCGAACATGTGATATCCTTAAGGTCAAGCAGCCCAGATGTGAGGAGGTCTTGGATGGAAACTGTGGAGGGCTGAATGGGCTGAGAAGGGTAAGGAGTAACTGGATCAAAAAGAACAACAACAAAACAAACAAACCTTTCCTGGTGGAACTACTGGAGACCCTTAGGAGCCTGGAGCTGTGCCTGGGAGAGGTAGGATGATACAGTCCACAGAAGGGGGCAGGAGGACCTCTGTTCCCAAACCTTAGCAAGTAAAATCCCCCTCCTTTCCCCAAGTGGGACTGGGACTTACCTGGAGACCAAGTTCTCAGAGGTGCGGGGTTTGGAAGCATTGCAGAGGACTGGCCGGGGCCTCACACACTCCCAGGGCCTGCCAGAGACAGCACAGGGGGTATGGAGACAACCCTCACTCAGACCTGCTGCCTAGTGGCCACTCTTGATATGATCTTGAAGACCCCCTGTGCTACTCCCCAAGCCCTGGCCTCTGGGACTTAAAGATGAGGAGGTGGGACCCCATCTTATACTATAACCCCACCACCAAACGCACACTGGTCACAGAACACAACCACATCCCATAATGAGCAGCATACCACAGCCCTCAGCTATCTATCCCAACATGTAGTTTCCTCCCCTTCTACGTTATTGGGATGTGTTCTTTGCTTCTGAGACCAAAACCTGTTCTGTAGGGAGAATTAGTCCTAGGCTGCTGTACCCGAGGCTGCCTGGATCCAAGAGATGGGGGTCCCTGAGGATCATGAACCATGGAGGGTGGGGCTCCAGGAGCAGAGGGAAGTCCTGGGACCAGCTGAAGGGGTTAGGCATACCTGGCAGGCTTCGTGGGCATTCCTGCTCCTGGGCACCATAGCCAGCAGCTGGGGTGCATGCTGTTCCACAAACTGTTCACACTGAGGAAAGACACAATGTGTTGGCAGTCTACAACAGGACTACCTATCCTGCAGTTCTTTCTACCTCCCTCGGCCACTCAGTTCCTTCTGTCTGTGGGTTTGTGTCTCTTGTCAGTGCCTGGCTGACTGTTAAGACTCTACCTGAGGGTTGGACAGATGGCCCAGCGGATGAGGCACTCGCTGCTCTTTTGGAGGACCTGAACAACAGCTCATAACCATCCTTAACTCCAGTTCCAGGGAATCTTCTGGCCTCCCTGGGCACTGCACACACATGGTGCCCATACATACATGCACACAAAACACATACACATGAAATAAAAAAAAGGACCTTTCCTAAGCCTGACTGGCTGCAGCATGTTTCTGTGGAAAGGCAAGGTACTGGAGCTGGCTGTTGGGAAGAGAGACCAGTGGCCTGGCCTCTCATTGGTTCATGCTTGCCCAGCACACATGAAGCCTTCAGTTTAAACTTCCTGAACCACATGAAACTGAGCATAGTGGTGCATGCCTCAGGAGGCAGAGGCAGGTGGATCTCTGTGAGTTTCATGCCAGCCTGGTCTAGAGTGAAGTCTAGGACAGGCTCCAAAGCCTGAAACCCTGTCTTGAAAAAAAAAAAAGTCCCCCTGCACACACCCATCCCAGACCCCTGTCCCTGAAAAGTCTTCAGTTCCTGTTCTAGACCTGAGTGTTCACTCACTGTCCGGTGGGGAGAGTTAATGCCAGTACCAGCTACAGTGGGAACTCCAGGCTTCTTGGGGTTTGAGTGAGGATACCTGAGACCTGGTCCTGGGCAGTCTCAGCCAGAGTTAATCATTTGAGTTGCTAATGTATGGTGTCTGCAGCAGTGACCATGCAGAATCTAGAATGTCATCTCTTGGATATGGGGACTGAGAATTGAACCAGGGTCCTGTTAGACTGAACCACCTGCCCAATCCCCAGGGTCAATTTTTAATGCTAATGTTTAAAGTCATTTTTAATCCCCATGTTCAGTTGGCAATTTTGGTTTTGCACATTGAAGATCAATAAAGTCTTGTTCTCTTGGCAAAAAAAAAGTCTTTTTTTGTCATTTTATTGTTTTGTTTTGGTTTTGGTGTATTGGTCTCTCTGTGTAGCCCTGGCTGTCCTGGAACTCACTCTGTAGGCCAGGCTGACTTCCAATTCAGAGACCTGCCTGCTTCTGTCTCCTGAATGCTGGGACTAAAGGTGTGCACTACCACCACCTGGCTTTAAAATTGTGTTTTATTTGTTTATATGTGTGTGGGGCACATGTGTGCTCAGAAGGACATCTTACAGAAGTTGATTCTCTCCTTTTACCATCTGGATCCCAGGGATCAAACTTAGCTTGTCAGGATTGGTGGCAGTGCCAGTGAGCCATCTTACTCAGCACCACGCCCCGCCCCCCAGCACTTTTTCCATCTCCTGTCTGTCTCCTTTCTCCGGACAAGGCTGACCCTGAACTCTATTTATATAGCTGAGGCTGCCTTTGAACTTCTGATTGTCCTTCCTTAGCCTTCCAAATGCTGGGATTACAGACCAGCACTACCATACCCAGCTTCCAGCCCTCTTGTGCAGGTGGACTTCTCCCTGTTGAGTCAGAGTCAGCAGGGTGGGACAGGAAGGATCCTGGGAGAAGGCTAAATTCTTTCCCTGCTCCAGTTGGCCTTGTCTTTACTTGTTTTCTGGTGCCTATGAGGCACTGTAGAATGCTACCCGCCATGGGGGTAACATGTGGCCCCCGTAGGGACACAGTGTGGCAAACACCAAGAAAGGACAGTATGACCCTTTTCTACTGGGACCAATTGTACTTTCTTTGTACTTAGCCCATGAAGAAGGCCTGCTAATGCTCCACTTGGGCCCAGCAATGTCTCTCAGTCAGTTACAGTTGTGACAATCCCATCATTGTCTGACCCACATCTGGTCTACCTGGCTGGGCTCCAGTCCAGTGTCCTGTGTGTCTCTGGCTACAAAGTCTCTTCTGGCTCAGCCACCATCACACAAAGGTCATAAATCCTACCCGTGTGCCCACCCTGTACCTTTTGCCTGTCCAGCCAGAATCGAAGGCAGGCCTGGCGCATTGCCTGTGGCATTGCCTGTGGCATAGCCTGTTCACTGGTGTTCCATGCCCGGGTGATCACAGACTTGCAGACACGGCACTCAGTGTCTTGTAGTGGCCATTCTTCTGCCAGGGGATCCAGAGCAGGGAGGGCTAAAGAGAAAATGGTCAAAATTGTCCTGCTGGCTGGGCATGGTGGCACATGCCTTGCCATGTCGGCACTTGAGAGGCTGAGGCAGGACGATCACAGCAAGCTTTAAGGCCAGCCTGTGCTATGTAATAAGACTCTGTTTTAATCCTTCTTCCAAAGCTGTCTTGTGTAACAGTTGGTTCGGGGCTGGAGAGGTGGCTCAGCGATGAAAAGCACCAGCTGCTCTTCCAGAGGACCTGGGTTCAATTCCCAGAACCCACATGGTGGCTCAGAACTGTCAGTTATCTTAATTCTAGAGGATTCAACATGCTTTATGGCCTCTGTGGGAACCAGGCACACATGGATATAGATGGTATACACGTGGTGTATAGATGTAGAAGCTGGCCACCATCCAGGCCCACATAATAGATAAATAGTTAAAAAACGATGTTGGTTCCTGTCCCCCGCCTTGTCCATGTTCCCTCCTTCCCCACATGTGCACTGTAGTGATATAAGTCAGGAAGAGAACCAAAGGAGGAGGATAGTGGGGCAGGTAACAGCAGGCTTACCTGGGCCAATGGCATCCTCACTGGAACATCGGAGGACGAGGCCGCAGACTAGCTGGGGTACCACGCGGCCCAGCAGTGCATCGAGCAGGAGGACTGTATAGCGCTCAGCCAGGCACTGACAGATGCCACCCACCACCAGGGGTACCACGTGGCACACCTGGGCCACAGCCACGGCCAGCACACCCTGGGGTGGAGGTGAAAAAAGGACAGCATGGGACCTTCCTCTGGCAGGCTCTCATTTGTGCCCATATGAGAGGGAACCCCAGGCACATCCCTTTCTCCCTTCTAGAAGGAGATCGGTGCTGTCCACAGGCTACTGAGCATCCAAGACAACAGGGGACACAGGGGGTGCACCTGGAGTCACTGAGAGAGTCAGCAGTTGACGCAAGATCTGACTTCAGTTGCTTTAGAGTCACTTGAAAAGGGCATCAAGGCCACGGCTTCTAATAGCCTGGCTCAAAGCTAGAACTAAAGCCCATTTCCTGACCCAGGGCCACCGTACTTCCCCATGGTCATCCATCAGGAAGACAAACAGTTCCTTCCATTGGCCCTTAAAGCTGACCAAACCTTGGCTTTAAGAACCCTGGGAAAGCCAGCATTCTCCCACCTCTCTCCAATTCCAAACAACCTGTAAGCAAGGGCAACAGAGGCCACACATGTGTAGCTCTTTCCTTTACTCCTTTATTCAGTCGATGTGGCAAGCTGGCCCAAGTGCCAGGAGGTTGAGGAAAGAAGAGGGCCCAGAGTGTGATGCCTCCCAAATGGGACGCTTCACTTAAGGCACCCACCTGTGAGCATCGACCCACCCATGGCTCTCCTCCTGTTATGGTGGCACAAGCCAACAGTCATTGTAATCAGTAACCAAGCTGTTCACTGGTGAGAGTGAGTCCATCTCTGGGCTATCTCCCCCCCATGCCTCCCCTGGCTTTCTCCTCTCTCTGATCCCTGCTGGCTGGAGAGGATGCTAAAACTGCTTCTGACCTTAGGAAGCCTCGCCGTGCTCCTCTTTCTGGAACACTTCACTCTGCATCCTCTGCCCAGCTCTCATCCTGCCTGGTAGTTCAGCAGTTTTCTGATCAATCAGACACCTTTCCTCTCTTAGCTTCCCTGGCAACATACTTCAGTCTCCTGCTTTGCTGTCTGTTCCCTCTCAGCTCTTCTGATGCTGTCTGCACCTGCCTTTCTTAGTCAGTCCCACCTTATTGCTTTTAAAAAAGATTTATTTTTATTCATGTATATGTGTGTATCTGAGTATGTGTATGCCACGCATGTGCAATTACCCATGGTGCCAGAAGAGGGCACTGGATTCCTCAGAGCAGGAGCTATGGCTGGTTGAAGCCACCTGACAGGGTGCTGGGAACCCAGCTCAGGTCTCTGGAAAAGCAGCGAGTGCTCTTAATTGTTGAGCCACATCTTCAGCCCTTCTACCTCATATTTTGAGACAAGGTCTCTCACTAACCCTGGAGCTCATCCATTTGGCTAGGCTGACTGGCCAGCAAGCTCCAAGGATCTACCTATTTCTGCCCATTTGAGCAATGTTGATAGGGCATGACCATTTGTGGGCAGGACAACCCTGAGCTGATGAGACCATTGGGTGACAGAAGGGATGGAGATTACTAGTGGACATTCTGTTTTGGGGGAATTAATGCATTTTTTTCTACAGTGACAACCAGGGCTTCTCAGCCTTTGGATATCGAGCTGCTGGAAGAGAAGGCTGGCCCTGATCTACTCTCCCACACCCAAGCCTCAAGGTTCCTTGGCTAGGGGCAATGTGTGGGTGTCTCCTCACCTAATTCCTCACAGCCTTCTCTGGTGTGTTTGAAGTGGGGAAGGTGCAGCTATGGGGCCCTCCTGAGCTCTGTGTGGTTCTGCACACCGAGGCCTTACCTTGGGAATCACAGCTTGGACCCGCTTGATCAGAGTCCTGCAAAGCCAGCAGAAGGGCAGAGGGATGGGGAGCTGTTGCTCAGAGAGATCCTGGGGAAGGACATGGTGTAGTGGGATTAAGGCTGGGAAGTACCTCCCAAGCCCTGCCTGCCCCACTTGGCTTCTCTGCCTCCTAGTTTAAGCTCTGCCTGGTCCCTTTTATCTCTTCCCAGCTCTGCCCCTCTGGGTGCTCATGTGTCTCAGTGGCTGTTGGGGGGTGAGGTGGGAAGGGCTGGTTTACCTGTGTGTGAGGCCCAGGCCTTGCCACAAGGGCCCCTGGCAGCACTGGGAGGACCAGCTTGTTCAGCAGAGGGTCTGGAGTAGCATCCTTCATCCCTGGCTCCTGTTCTGGCTTAGCCTGTTCAAGTGGGCACAGGCCCACATGATTGCAGATGGCCTTTGGGTTCTAGGGCACAGGAAAGTAAGGGCTGTTAGGATCAGGAGGGAACTCTCACTGCCCAGCCTCTGCTCAGGGACAAGGACCACAGTCTTTGAGCCTGGGTTTGGTTTTATGGGGAGCAGGCTGCAGGGGGGGGGGTTGCTCCATCTTAGGATTCCAGGGAAGGGGCAAAGACAGAGATGGGTGGTGGAGGGCCTTGGGGTAGGGGTCTGGGAAAGTGTGATTGCATGTGAGCATATTGTGTGAATTAACTAAGAATGTGTGTGTGCGTGTGTGTGTGTGTGTGTGTGTGTGTGTGTGTGTGTGTGGAGAGAGAGAGAGAGAGAGAGAGAGAGAGAGAGAGAGAGGATGGAGAGAATATCTGAATGTCTGTAGTATGTCGTAGAGTAGGTACACTCTGATCTGGTTTTCTAGATGAAGGAACTGAGTTTCCTGTGGCTGTACTGGTGTGTGTGTGTGTGTGTGTGTGTGTGTGTGTGTGTGTGTGTGTGTGTGTGTTGGGACCACTTATATAGGAAAGTGACCACTTAGGCACATGAGCTGTGTGGCAGGTGTGGCAGGCAGGTCGGGGTCCTCACTATCTGGCTCTGGAAGTAGTCCATAACCAAAGGCAGGTAGACATCAAGCACTTGGCGACACCGGGGCACAAGCAGCTTCAAGGGAAGGATCTCACATTCTTGCTCCAAGAACTTCCGGATTGTGTCCTGGGAGGGCAGAGAAGGGAGGGCTAGCCTGGCCTTTGTGAGGTCTGCCCCTACCAGAGTCCTTGATGCAAGGTCTCCACCAGCACACACTGGATATGTGTGGGAGAGTGTGCATGAGTGTGCCTGAGGGCATCTGCTCACCAAGACCAGAGGCATCCCATCATGCTGGAGTGATAAGCAGTTGTAAGCTGTCTGATGTGGGTGCTAGGAACCAAACTCAGGTCTTCCAGAACAGTCTGTGCTCTTAGCACTGAGCAATCTTTCCATCCCCTAAGCTCAGTTCTATGAATCTACTCTTGGGTGGCTGGATGAGTGTGGAGGCCTCACCTCAGCCTGGAAATACCCCTTTCGGGAGCTTGCTCCATCTCCTCGCTCTGCCCCTTATCCCTTGTTCCCTAAACTCATATAGGATCTGGTTCCCATTACCTGGAAAATGTCTTCCTTGGTCATCTTTATGAGGAGGTGGACAATATCCTCACACTCTTGGCACAGGTCATTCTGGAAAAAGGGTCTCAAGTGGGGCAAATGAGTTGGGCATGCTCCTAGCTCCAGGGAGTGCAGCTTTCTCAGACTCAGGCGGACAGGTCCCTCCTTCTAAGACGTAAGTGGCTACCCACCATCCCATATCATCCTGTTCTGCAGACTCTGTCCCATCCCACCCATCCCATTGGACCCATCTCGTTTTACCCTGCCTCCTCTGTTGCATCATCCCATTTGATCCATTTCATTTTATCCCGTCCCATCCCATCCACTTCATCCCAACTCATCCATCTTACCGTCTTACCACCCATCCATCCAGCCCACTCTACTCTCCTCCACATTTTGTCAGCCTGCCCCCCTCATTCATCCCATTTTGCATCTTCACACCTATTTCATTCCACTCAACTCTACCCATCATTTTATCTCATACTACATCATACATCCTCCACGCCACCCCAGCCTCTGTGGGAGCCCCGCTTCCCTTGTGCCCACCCTGATTCCTGCTTTCCAGATCCCTAGTGCATCCGTGGGTGCTACTCACAGCTCCTACATGCCCCCAGACTTCCTGTAGGCAGTGCCCCAGGGCTCTGCACTGCACTGCTTGCTCCACGCTTTGGCACCAGAATTTAGGACCCTGTGCACAATCCAGGGATGAGGCCGATCCGACAGCTACAGCTGGGGTCAGAGCAGCCTTTGTCAGGATCCAGGGTACACTGGGCACCCTGCCTTCACCCCACCACCAACCCAGTTTCATTGAAAAATGGGTGGCCATTGCTTATGCTAGGCATCTCTGAGTCCTCCACCAACTGCCCTTGGACAATCCCGAGGGCCTCTCTGGGCCTCAGCTAACTCGTCTTTAAATTCAGGAATATGTGCAGCCCGGGGTCCTTCTAGGACAGAGCTGGCTCAGTAAGTGGAGACTTACCTGCACCTGGGTTGCAGAGTGTGGGCAGCAGCAGCAGCCACTGCAGTAGACGTGACTTGGCCATAACTGCCCCCTACTTGGCACCCTACTTGAGACAGAGGCTCTTATAGTGGGGAAGAGGACCTGGGGCTGGGCCTCGTGGGAGCAAGTTGACCTCAGTGTTTGCCTGAGTCTCGAGAGCCCTCCAGGTGTTTGATCCCAGGTCTTCTCAGGAGGGCCACACCGGCCGCCTCCCCTGTGCTGGCTGATATCGGTTCCTGTTCCTTTCCTTTGCCCTCTTCCCCAGCTCCCTGTCTCTCTGCTCATCCTCAAGGGGGTCTTGCTTAATCCCAGCTCTCTGGGCAAGGGATGTTGAGGCAGGGGTCAGCTTCGAGTGGGGTCAGAATGAACCTCTCCAGCCACACCCCAGGCTTCTCAACCCTCCATCCTTAGGCAATCAATGCTCTTGAGAGTTTCCTGCCTGGCTCTTGACGCAGGGTAAGTGCCGGAAGGGCACACCCAGGGTGCTCCTGGGGCTACTTAACCCCCACTCCCTCCTTACTTTAAAAACCCTCTCATGCTATAGAGTTGGTACTAGTGGGGAGGGATTTAGACAAAAGAAGATAAAGTGTCCTGTGAGGCTGAGGCAGGGACCTGGGGCTGAGATTTCTTGTGTCCCTGTGGCTCTCAGGTAGCTTTATCTAGAAGCAGTTACTCATGTCCCTTAGCCACCTGTCCTGGCTTTGAGACAGGGCTCAGCTGAGTTCAGGACATGTGGTCCTCCAAGGCTGTGTCCCCATCGTCCCCAACTGTCTGGGTCCTAGAGAGAAAAAGCAGGACTAGAGGAGGATCTTATCTGATTCCCGTCATGCCTTTCCCTAAGGAGGCTCCTCGGGAAGTGCTCCTGTGCAGGGTGGCCAGGGTGGGAGCTAGTCCCACGATGAAAGCAAGTAGTTGGACACGTGACTGTAAAGTGACCCACTGGAAGTGACTCAAGGATTCATACACTTTCTGTTGGCTTCCAGGCTTTGTCACTATGAAAAACAGTTGCCACAACAAGAATTAACTGAGAACGTGTAAGAATGTGTGACCAAAAATCACCAGCCCAGTGACTTGGCTAAAACTTCAGGGTAAGTTTGAGGCTAGCTTGGTCTACATAGCAAGTTCCAGACTAGACAGGGTTGGCTTCAAAGTCATTTTGCAGCCACAGCTGGCCTTAAACTTCTGATTTTCCTGCCTTTACCTCCTGAGTGCTAAAATTACAGGTGTACATCCATCACACCTAGTTTATGTGCTGAACCCAGGGTTTGTGCCTGCTAGGCAAGCACCCTATGAGCTGAGCTTCATTCCTGGCTCATGAACTATCTTAGCCTTGGATCTATTGATTTCCATTTGCCTCTTAGCCAGTCCTGATGCCCAGACATCCATCCAACCCTGTTGAGAAGAATCCTGCCTCTGGAACTCACTAATGCCCATATGACCTGCAACTCAGAGATTCACCTGTGCCTGCCTCTTCCTTCTGAGGGCCGGGATTAAGAGGGCATACCATCATGCTTGGCTAAATGTATATTGTAAATGTTTATGTTTAAGTCATAGTAGCCAAGACTGCCATTTAAAGGGAGGCTTCAGTGGTTAAGAGCACTAGCTGTTCTTCCTGAGAATCTGGGTTTGAGTCCCATCACCTACATGGTACCTTAGAACTGCGATCTTCAGTTTAGTGGATCTGATGCCCTCTTCTGGCCTCTGTGGACACACACACACATATGGTGCACGGAAGTACACATACAGACATAAGGGGAAAATGACCATACATATAATGTTCTTTCAATCTCAAAAAATTTCTTTTAAAGATTGCTCTTTAAAACAATGAAAAACATCCAGGTGGCAGTGGCGCACACCTTTAATCCCAGCACTCGGGAGACAGAGGAAGGAGGATCTCTGTGAGTTCGAGGCCAGCCTGGTCTATAGAGCGAGTTCCCGGATAGGTTCCAAAGCTCACAGAGAAACCCTGTCTTGTAAAACCCAAAAAACAAAGAAACAAAAACAAAACAAAAAACCCCCACAAAACTTTAGAATAGTGTGACTAGAATGTTCTTGTAATAGTTTTAACTAATGTATATTCAAATGTATATGTGTTATTCAAATTAGCTAAGAGATATAGCTGGGAGGTAAAGCATGAGCTTAGGGAACACAGGGCCCTGGGTTCTGCCCTGAAAACCAAACCAACCAAACACAACAAAACTTTAACCAAGTGATTGGTGATGTAGCTCACTTGGTAGAGCACGCTTGGATCTAGTGGCATGTGCCTGTAAACCCCAACACTTGGAAAGTGGAGGCAGGAGGATCAGAAGTTCAAGGTCATTGGTTCAAGGTCATCTTTAACTACATAATAAGCTTGAGGTCAATTCTGACTACATGAGGCCTGAAAAAGGGGAAGAATGGAAGGAAGGAAGGAAGGAAGGAAGGAAGGAAGGAAGGAAGGAAGGAAAGAGGAAGGGTGTGTGTATGCACAAGAGAGAGAGAGAGAGAGAGAGAGAGAGAGAGAGAGAGAGACTGGGGATACAATCGTGACAGGCCTCACGCTGAGCAGGGCAGTGGACTTGTGCAGTCACCTGCAGGATGACCCCTTCTATTCTCCAATACTATAATAAGAGCCTTTAGGGTCCATGGCTGTGCACATCCATGTTTCATTTTACTTGCGTCACCATGCTGTGTAGATTGGCTTTGATCAGAGGCTCTGGTTCATGAAGTCACTCAGGGACCCAGTCTCTTCCCTCTGCTTGGTTGGAGGCTCATATGCCTCCTAGGTCACCAACATCTGCCTGGCAGCAGATAGAAAGGGTGGAAGACAACGAGGGAGGCTTTGAGGCCAGGATGGGCGTTGTGTCTGCCACTGTAGCCTGCCATTCCATCTACACTTAACCCCAGGGAAGAACTCAATTAGATTTTATTTTGTCCTTTTATAATTACAAGCTATTAAATCTAACATGATTTTCTGAAACTTTGCAGGCTACCAGCATACACAGAGACACACAAAGTTCATGCAATGGAAATATATAGAAAACAGTATTTCTTTAAAAAAATTAAAACAGAGTAGAATTCATTTAAAAGTAAACTATTAGGTTTCATTTTTAGGAGACCTCTTAGCAGTGTTGTGCATCTTTGTTTTTTTTTTTTGACTTTTTTTAAAATTTGAATTATAAACAAGATTGAATTATATGACAATCCCAGTTCCCTTCTCCCCTCCCACCCCCCAACTAAAACCCTACCTATCACATATGCTTTCTTCTAATCTACACCTGACTCAACCAGGAAAGGGCCTTCTTAAGAAAGTGACGAGGTCTGCTTTGCTTTTTTGTTTATAGACAAGGACTTATGTAGCCCAGGCTGGTCCCAAATTTGATAATGTAGCTGAGGATAGCCTTGGACTTCTGATGCTCTTGCCTCCACTTTCTGAGTGCTGCAGCTTTATTATGGGTGTGCACTGTCACACCTGGTTTATGTGGTCCTGGGATTACAGGTGTGTGCCCACCATGCCAGCCTCATTTGTGTTTCCCCAGGTGTTCCATTGTGCCACTGATGAGACGGATGATGTCTTGTGAGGCATGACTGTTATGAACACTCCCACAACCACCACCACCACCACCA